AAAAAAGAAAGAAAGAGGAAGAGAAGGTGCTGAGCTGCAGAAGCAGGACAAGCGGGAGCCTTGGCCTTGGGGCCGGGAGACCCAGACTGCGGCCCCTGAGCTGTCGTTTCTCAGCCGTGCAATCTCAGGGAAACAGTAAGCCCTGAACCCCTGCTTCCTCACCTGTGAAATGTAAACCAGCTTTTCCTTTTCACTAGGCTGTGGTGAGAACAGAGAAAAGATGGAAACTAGGGATGTGCCTTGCACAAACTGCATAGCATCCAGCCAGAGGTTTGCAGTGTTTAAAGAGTCCGTGCCCTCTTCCCTAGGAAAATGCACCTGCCCGTGCTCTCCTTCTACCTCTCCAAACCCCATCCCCCTAAAAAATCTGCAAAGCTCTTGGCACTTCAGGATGTTTTTGCAAATCCCAGTAAAATCATTCTGTGAGATTTTTCAGGTGCAAGTTAAGTCCACAGTTCTGACACAGGACTTGAAAATCATTACATAGATGCTGAATGTCTGGTGAAGAGAGGGTCGGAGGACTTGGATTTGGACCCCAGCCAAGCCTTTACTAGTATTTGTGACCTTGAGCAAGTCTCCTAACCCCTCTGAGCCTCAGTGTCTTCACCCATGAAATGAGTTTTACAGTAATATCCATTTCCTTTCCCTCCCAGGGTCGCTGTGACGATTAAGTGGGCTAATTGATAGGAGAACATTTTGTAAGCTGTGGATGGCCGTGCATTGGGTGAGAGGCAGTCCTTAGTCAGTGGAGCGAGGAGCCCCGGGCAGCATCTTATGTAGAGCTGCTATGAACAACAGATTCTCTGCAGCCTGTAATGTCCTTCCTCCTCCTGCCACTCCTGCTCACCCCCCAAGGTTAGGGTGGCACCTATGGTTTTATCTCCCTAGCACCTTCTTTCTTTGTGGGACCAGGATCCTCACTTTCTCTTTCTCTTGAGATCTTTCCCTTCGCCCCCTACAAACATTTGGATTCAGAAGGCACTGTCCTGTTCTCATGTGATCCTGCCTTCTGGCCACAGCTGACTGGTCCAAGGTTGGGCATCTGGGCCAGGCCAGGTTCGTCAGAATTCTTCCCTAGGACCTCTCCACCCCAGGACCTTTCTAACTAAAACCGAGGAAGAAGGCCAAAATTTCTAGCTGACGGTTGAAAGTCTGAGTTGTCAGTAACCCTATTTCCCACCGTGCAGGGGATGTGGTCTGTGGCGAAGAAACGCGAAGCAAGCCTAGAGAGAGAAGCTGAGACAGGAGATGGCCAGAGAATCCTCACAGGGGTTGAGTCTCTGGTTCTGGCTGAGCCTAAGGTCCCCGCTGTAGGCCGGCCCATCCCACAAAGAATGATTCACCTCCTTCTTCACATCCAAAAAATTCCCCTTCTGCTTAAGCTAGTTTGAGTTACATTTCTATCACTTGCAGCCATAAAAACCCCCGACTAAGTGAAAGGCCCAGTCCCAAAGTCACCTCCTGGGTAAGGTTCTCCCTGTGCCCCCAACACTTCCCTTCCCGGGGCTCCTTCCACCACACATGGCTCGTGCCAGTGCCGGCAACAGCGACACATTCGTGCTATGACTGCTGCTTTTTCACCATGGGCCGAGTAGAAAGAACACAGGCTTCGGGGCGACACCGATCTGGGTCCGCATCCCGTCGGTGCCCCTGACTAGGAGTGCGACCTTGGAAACATCCCGTGGGTTTCACTTTCCTCATCTGTAAAATGGAGATGCTAACACTTTCCTTGAAGGGTTTTGTGAGAATTCCATGAAATGATGGAGGAGAGTAACGAGCGGAATGCCTGGCGCTTGGTAAATGTTCAGTCAGTAAAGGGAGGTTTTCTTCTACTTCACCCATTTGTTTTTGGAGGGAGTGAGGCATCTGTGGCTAGGGAGATTTTTATAGAGGGTTAGAAATCAATGCTGGTCCTCGAGTCCTCTCGGGGCCAGGCGTTGACAAAGCAGCCAAGAAGTTCCCACCCACCCATGAAAAGATGTTCCACGTCGTTAGACTTTAGGGTACGGCGAATGAACACCACCGCGCGCTATCAGTTCACGGGAACGGGCGCTGGTTGGAATAAAACGGGTAGAATAAAAAGGGTGGGTGAAAGGAAGCAGACACCGGGGCCTGCCGGCGCTGCTGGAGGGGACGCAAAAATGGGGTAGCCACTTTGGAAAGCAGGTCCTCGAAGGGCGAAACAGAGTGAACACGAGTCTCTGCCACCCGGCAAGGCCACACCTAGGAGTACACACCCGGGAGAGTCGAAAACATACGAGAACGTGTACGCGACTGTTCATAGCAGCGCTGTCCCCGAAAGCCACGAAGCGGAAACAACCCAGATGTCCGTCAGCGGATGAGCGCATCAGCGGGAGGTAGTGTGGGCCAGTACTCGGCCGAGCGAGGAAGTGCTGATGCACGCTACCACACGGATGAGCCTGGAGCACGTTATGCCAAGGGGAAGAAGCCAGACACAGAAGGCCACATGTGGTGTGATTCCTTGGGCACGACAAGTCCAGAGGAGGCAAAGCCAGAGAGAAAGAAAGCATATCCGCAATGCCCAGGTCTGCGGTGGGGGCTGGGGGAGGGAAAGAATGACTGCTCATCGGTGCAGGGTATCTTCTGGGGACAATGAAAATGTTCTGCAACTAGAGAAAGGAGATGGCTGCACGATCTTGTGAATATATTAAAAAACACTGAACTGTACCCTTTGAATGGGTAAATTTTATGGCATATAAATTATGTATCAATTTAAAAAAAAAAAGAAAAGAAAGAAAGCTCTGTCCAGGAAATGGCTCTCTGTCACACAATGTGGCCCGGACGTGCCACTCGGATGTGGCGACTGACCCCGAGCACAATAGCAGGGACAGCATGAATGACCACCATTCACGGTACTGACCTGCTCCAAGGATCGCTGGTGGTCCTGGTGGCCCTGGGGGTCCTGGTGGCCCAGGGGATCCAGGTCTTCCAAAGCCAGGAGGCCCAGGCAGGCCAGGAGCCCCCGGGGGTCCCTGGGGCCCAACGACAGTCTCCCCTTTCTGGCCCTGTCAGGAGAGAGAACGCAGCACCAATCTCTAGAGGTCCCAGCTCTTCTCTGTAGGAGGGTGTTTGTAAAAAGTCAGTAACTACCAGCTCGGGCTATGGCCATCCTCCATGCCGGGCACAGCTTGGGTGGAATGAGACCTAGAGAACAGCTGCCCGGTCATCATGCTCAATGTCACCGCGTCCAACTCCAGAGAGCCCTGGAGTCAGAAGGGCCCTGACTTTGCATTTCACAGATTAGGAAACTCAGGCACAGAGAGGGGATGGGGCTTGTTCAGTGTCAAAGCCAATTCGCAGTAGAGGTGGAAGTGGACCCCTGGTCTCCAGGCTCTGCTGGGTCCACCCTCACACTGGGCACTGGGACCAGAGTTTGCTTAGGGTTCTGGAGGGTCATGGTCTGGTCTTTATCTCACGGGAGGTATAACCTGAATTTCTCTCTTGTGAGGCTGGAGAAACCTGGAATCCTAAGAAGACCAAGCCTATCTAGGGGCTCCTTCTTTGATGAAATCTCAGAAGAATCAAATAGCCCCCTCTAAAAATATCTCCCTCACCTTCCATTCTGCCTTCATTATCTCCTATGTTCACCATCAGTAACTCCTTGGGTTGAGAGAATTTTCCACCACTGACATGAATAAGGCAGTGTGGTTAGTGACCTGGAAGTTGCCTGGATGCATATGGCCACGGCCAGCTCCCTTTCCTCCGTGGGCCTCAACCAACCTCCCCATCAGTAAATAAATACGAGGGAGAGAGGCCAATGCCCAAGTCCTGCCTCTAGCTTATGGTACTGTGACAGACCCTTGACTCTCCAACTGCCTAGTCCCGCTGGGGGGCTTCAGGGAAGGCTGTGACTCACTGAGGCAGATGGCGAGGAGAAGTCACTACTCACAACCAAGCCAGGACTTCCTGGCGGGCCTGGAGGCCCCGACACAGAGAAGTCACCGTGAGAGTCTCCTTTTTCTCCCTTGATCCTCCGGTCTCCATTCTCCCCCTGCAAGCAGAGAGCATTCATTAAGAGGAAGATGAAGCAGTCTATGATGTAAGCCCAAGCACTCAGAAACACAGGCCAGGGCACCTGGGCGGCTCAGTCGTTGGGCATCTGCCTTCGGCTCAGGTCATGGTCCCGGGGTCCTGGGATCGAGCCCCACATCGGGCTCCCTGCTCCGCGGGAAACCTGCTCCTCCCTCTCCCACTCCCCCTGCTTGTGTTCCCTCTCTTGCTGTGTCTCTCTCTGACAAATAAATTTAAAAAAAAAACAAACAAAAAAAAACAGAAAATAGTTAAGTGTTGGCAAGCATGCAAAGAAATTGGAACCTTGTGCACTGCTGATAAGAATATATGATAGGGGCGCCTGGGTGGCTCAGTTTGTTAAATGTCTGCCTTCGGCTTGGGTCATGGTTCCAGGGTCCTGGGATCGAGCCCCGCTTCGGGCTCCCTGCTCAGCGGGAAGCCTGCTCCTCCCTCCCCCACTCCCCTTGCTTGTGCTCCCTCTCTCGCTGTGTCTCTCTGCCAAATAAATAAATAAAATCTTTAAAAAAGAAAAGAAAAGAAAAGAAACACAGGCCAAATGTTTGGTAGAGAAAAACTCACCTTCAAGCTGTTCAGAAAGTGTCTCAGGTAAGCCGGGTCCACCGGAGGGCCTGAAAAAGAAATGCTATGTAAAATTCACAACGATAACCTCAGAAATTCAAAAATAAAAGTCTCCAGGGGCACCTGGGGGGCTCAGTCAGGTGGGTGTCCGGCTCTTGACTTCAGTTCAGGTCATGATATCAGGGTTGTGAGATCGAGCTTCGCATTGGGCTCCGTGCTTAGTGGGGTGTCTGGTTGAGGATTCTCTCTTTCCTTCTTTCTCTATCCCTTCCCCTGATGGCGCTCTCTCTCTCTCAAATAAATAATCTTTAAATAAATAAATAAATAAAAGTCTCCAAGTTGGCAACCATCATTATTCCCCAGTGGAAGTGACCTCACGTTGGTTTGGCTCACAGAGTGGGCACTGGAGTCCTAGGCTCGGCCCCACAACCCAGACACTGTGGGATCCTGGACATGTCGCTGGCCCTCTTTGGGCCTCATTTTGCACAGGAAGCATGAATGATTGGAAGTGGTCTCTCTCGACAATGTTCTATCATGGGTATGTGTGGCCCATGACTGGGTCTCTCTAGAACTCCGTGGAGCTTGTGGTCAGGGTGGTAATAAAATGTGCCTTACTTTCTGGCTCAGTTGGATTTCTCGGGAACAAAAGTCAAAGGCGAGATCTGGAGCAACAGCTGGAATACCTGGTGGTCCTTGGGCCCCCTGGTCGCCTTTCTCTCCTTTCGAGCCTGGAAGACCCCAGGATCCTTTTTCCCCTTTAACACCTGCCACCAAACACATAAATGTTTAAAAAAAAAATGGAAAATCACCTTCATTCTATATGAAATGTTTCTGAGACAAGTTTTCACACTGAGCCCCTTTAGCAAAGTCCACTCATTACACAAAGGCCTATCGAAGGTACGAAATCCTTTGCTAAATGATGGGGAGGACAGAGGTAGATACATCAGACACAATTCCTCACTTTGCAAAGCTCGGTCTTTGGGGACCGATGGGGAGATGGACACAGTGAAGGACAACGTGATGCAGGATGGAGTGAGTGCTAACCTCAAGGTGTCCGCAGTGCATGGTGGGGGCCCAGCAGAGGCTACAGGTAACCCTCTCCTGGCCGGCTTCATGCACGCAGCCTCACAGGCTCAACATCCAGTCAAACTCCCAGTCCCATCTCTTCTCTACCTGTGCAGCACGGTGGTGTAGGGAGGAGAGCAATCTCCCAGGAGTGCCCTCAGAGGACACCAAGGGTGCTAAGTATTCCATGTACAGAGTTGGAAGGAGGCCAGCTGTGTCCCCCACCACCATTTCTTAGGATTTATGAGAAGCACCCTCTCTCTCCAACTCTTTCTATGCAGGAGAGGCATGGAGGGTGCCTTCTGGAACTTCGGCATTGGGGAAGGGAAGCAATCCCCTGTCCCCACTTTGACAGGTGGGGGAGACACTAGATCTCTGCATTCCTAGTTCCCAAGAGGTATGACAGATCAACCGAGCAGTACCCTTGAGCCTAGAGATAGGGTTGGGGGGCTCAGGCTTCTCAGCATGGGGGAAGGGGTGTGAGTACCAGAGGCATGATGCTACCAGCTGGGGGTCAGCAGGGAGATGCAATCGCGGGGCCAGGGGGGCACGCCTCCACCCACCCACAGTGGTGAAGCCCAGAGAAGGGGATACTGAGCTCACCAGCATCGATGAGGCTGCTCACCTCAGGGAGCAGGAGTAACAACCACAAGTAAGTAGCAGGACACAGGCTCACCGGGGGCTGTCCTGTCCAGAAATGTCTGTTCCCTCCCCTGCCTCCCAGAGCAGCCCCGTGAGGACGGGAAAGCACCGGGGATCTGAGACAGCAAATCCAACTCTACTCTGCCTCCCCAAGATCCACCTTGCACCAGGGGCCAGGGGTGAGCTTTGAACTGGATCTGAGCATGGAGGGTGAAAGCCGTCTGGACCCTATAACCAAAAGCAACAGAAAAACCACGGGGCCAAATATCATCAGGGAGACCACCGCCCGGCGGGCCATGGACAACAGAGCAGAGCCAGGGGGTCAGTCTTGGGGAAAAATGACCTTTACCTGTTTAAATGGCAAGTGTCCAGACCTCTCAATCAAAAGGGGGACAGACAGAGTGACCGCGGACATGGGGACAGGGACCAGAGTGATTGCTCCCCTGTTGGCTCCCGTCTCCTGACCTACGCCCTCTGTGGATATTTACTAATGAGACACCCAGAGCCAGCGCCTCTCACACTTTACTGAGCATGACCTCAGTGAGGAGTTTAAAGTGCAGCCTCTGACTCAGCAGGTCCACGGTGGAGCTTGAGATGCTGCATTTCTAACATGCTTTAAGGAGAGGCCGCTGCGGCTGGTCCAAGAACTCTCTGAAGCAAAGGTCTTCTGAGCTCCCATGGCCCTTCCCTGTACTCGTTCTTGGTACATTGCATTATCATGATTTCTAAACTAGCTCCATCTCATGGAGTCTAAGGGCCTGCGTGGCAGGAACGGTGTAGGATTCCCCTGCCTCAACCCAATGCACGGGCTACACTCATGAACTATGGTCTCAGTGGATGCTTTATGAACAAATTAACAAAAATGTGGACAAATGGAGTACTTCTTGCTAGCTGGAAGTCCCAGCCAAGATGTACAGAACATACAGATGTGTGACAAAACAAAAAGAGGTGCCCAACCCCACAGCGCTGGCCCAGCGACCCCTGCTCCCACCACATGCAGCCAGACTCCCAGCCATGAGTCTTAGGTCCAGCACTGGGAGTGGAGGCCACCTCCTGCAGAGCTACAAGGGTCTGGAAAAGTCCCACAGAACCATAAGGTGAAGAAGGGAAACGGTACCATGAAAGGTGATGAGCTCTGAATTCCCAGGATGAGTGGTGTCAGCCTGGAGAGAAAGAGAGTCAAGGTCATAAAGTGCAAACCCTGTCCTGGGATTTGCATCCACAGGCCACCACTGTCCCCTGTCCTGGAGGCATGTGATAGGAGGCACGCCGTCATGGAGTCAGGCCCGTCTTTGGCTCTGGAGCCCCCAAAAGCCGTGAGCTCCCCAGCAGCCCTCAATGCACAGGCCAAAGCAGGCCTTCAACTGGGGAGCGGGGGCAGTGGGCATTATGCAGCCAGGCCGGGGGGAGACTCACTGGCTGAACAACTCTGCAAGGGGAAAGCGCAAAGCTTCGAGATAAATCGTGGCCAGTTATGAGCGTTCTTAGCCTCCTTTCTTGCGATTTAGGACTGATTCACGTGAAAGGTCAAGCATCTGAGTGAGTGATGTACCCAGCCATGAGGCTGCGCTGGCCATGAGTTCTGCTGTGGCATAGAATCAAGGATGCACGTAATGAACAGGAGCTGATGATGGTAGCGGTAATTAATAAAGGGGATTAGCATTTGGTTGAAGGGCTATTCTAGACTCCCCATGACGAGGCAGGGGTCTGGCACCCAAGTTATCCTAGATAATACTCCTTCCTAGTTCATTCCCAGATTCCTGCATTTTCTTATCTAAAAAACAGAGCCATCTGTGACCCTGCTTTTAATACCCAACTTCACCCTTTGCCAGTTGATATGTGGGATCAAAATGACCCCTCTGGCACCAGGATCCTCCTACTTTTGGGTGGAGGGTCACAAGCTGCTCAGGGGTCACCAAGAGAAGAAAGGGGGCAGGGAGTGGATGGGAATCCCTAAGAACAACATTTCAAAGCTACGGATGAAGGTGGCAGTGCCAAGCTGATAGCTCGCGGCTACGCTGATAGGGTTCTTCCACTCCCGACGTGGGCTGACATCGTGGTGGTGTCAGAAAGGGGCTGAAAGCAGAGGGGCTTATGGCATGATGGATGCTGTCATGGAAGGAAGATAGCAGTTCTTTTTCAAGTGTTCATTTTGAGAGCTGGTCCAGAAATGTCCATGGTGTCCGGCCAGGCAATGTGAAATCAAAAACTCATCAAAAATGCTCTGAGCTCATCTTTGGTTTCTTTTCAGGAAGCTCATGACCCCAGAGGCCACGGCTACGGCAAAGCGTCCTAGCACAGGCCGTGGTGACTGCAATGGCACTTTTACAATAATCTCAAGTTTGTCGAGTGCTGCCCCGTGGTTGTTCCATTGACACCTGAAACTGTGTTAGCGGAGGGGGCTTCGGGCACAAACTCACAGGGGCCCTAGAGCCGACGGTCTCTCCTTCTGTATGATGAGGTGGAATGCAGCCATCTCTCAGAGGCATCCCTTCAGGCCATGGATGTAGACATGACCTGGCTTGCTATGGTCCTCATGGAGATCTGGGAGCCAGCAGGGCCCCTTGTCATCTCAGTGGGTCCTATCGTCTGCATTCTAGGCCAGAGTTCTGGGCCCTGGGCTGCAGACTTGGGTGCCTCAAAATTTCAACACAGACAGATGTCCAGGCAAAACACTCAGCCAGACGGCGTCATTTTAAAGCTGCTGACCCAAGCCTCACCACCACACCCAATTATGAACCCACTTCAAGGAATCTTTGTAAACTGTCATTTGCAAGCTCCTGAGAAGGGAGGCCACGCCTGTTTATTTCACCCCTGTGTCTCCAGGGCCCAGCAGAGTACTTGGCTCTCGGCAAGCCCTTAAGAAATACTTGTTGAATGAATGAGAAAGTGATCACACATTGTTCTGTGACTAATGCCTGTGCACGGGGACAGGCCCTCTCTCCCTGGCCCTCCCCATGGAAACAGGACCCTCCCCATATAGGGAAGACCTCAGCGACAGTGCCACTGCCTAGCTGGGTGACCGGGCACGTGCCTGACCCCTGGGAGTCACAGTGCCTGCACCTGCTGCCTGGTGGCCAGGGGACTCGAGTGACGACCCCAGCTCTGTCAGGCCCGTGACCTAGGCAAGTCAGTGAGCTTGTCTGAGTCACAGTTTGCTGGCTTTTTATAAAGTGGGCGGGAGAGTGCTGGCCTCTCACGGTTGTGTGGTATGCAACACACCTGCTGGGAAGGGAGAGGACACACTCAGTTGTAGGTCTTAGCCCACAGTTCCTAATGCAACGAACACTGATCAGAATTGTTTTATTTTCCCATTGATACTTTTAAGGGGTTTGTCTTCCTTCTTACTATACTGCTCCCCGCATGAAGCTAATGTGGTTACAATAACGAGACACTGCTCTCCTGATGCATTAAAAGAAACGCTCTGACAGCACGTGTACCTTTAGAAGATGCAGTACGTTTCATTGCCACGGTCTGTTATCTAGAAGCTTCTAGCTACTCACTTCAGGGTCTGTGTATAAGTGATAGGAGACATCAAAGAGGACATTGATGGATTGCAGGGGCTCAAGGCAAAGACTGATCACCTTCTCTAGGTTGCTTTCTATGCCGAAGTCTGGTCTGTAAGGCGGTGACTCCACACTACTTACCGGCGTTTTGCAGTGTGGCCGGACTGGTATGGGGAAGACAGCCTGTGCGAAGTGAGAACAAGAGAAGCGAGGCCATCAGGACCGCCGACTCCAGCTTAGGCCTGTCTGGGGTCTGTTCCCCGCTGTCCCCTGAAGGTCTCCCCCCCCCCCGCCCCACCCAACTTACTCCTTTGATGTTAATCACAGCTCCAGGGGGTCCTGGGGGCCCTGGAGGACCGGGTAAGCCAGGTGGGCCCTGAAGGGAGAAGAAAGGCCACGCCTGAGTTCAGGTTATTGTGAGTGCAGAGGCACTGCGGGATATTTTCTCCAGGATGTGGGGGACACGACGTGAAAAGAAGAGTCCTCTAAAGTTGACTAACTTCTCCCACAGGTAGGCCTGACACTTCTAAAGAGCACGACTGCATCCAGGACCCCCATGGCATCTTTATAGCAACCCATGGGGGGGGGGGCAGCGGAGCAAACAGTCTCCCTGGTTTACAAATGGAGGCAGAGGCCCCGAGAGGGGAAGTGACCCGCTCAAGGCCACACAGTCAGAACTCAGATTCTGACTCCCAGAGCAGTGCTCAGCCGACACAGAACCCACCACTTCTCCACCAGCACATCCCTAGTATGGAGGGGGCTGTGGGGTGGGGAGGCTCCTTCACCAGACTCGGTACCTGGGAGAGTGCCTCATAAATGCAAAAATAAATGCAAAACTCTTGCTCAATAGCAGAGCTATTTTCAAAGCCAGGTCAACCTGGCCTTAGTATCACACAGTGTTTTCTTCTCCAAGCCTGGATCTGAAGCAGGACCTCGCAGTAGGAGGGGTGGGGCTCTGACCACAGGCACGAGGAGTCGGGCCTACTCAGAAGCCGCACTCATTATCCTAAGTGAAGGCAGGAGTGTCTGCTTTTCCTAGCAGCTGCAGCGGGCTTGACGAGTGTGAGCCAGTCCCCACAAGCCTCGGTAAAACTGCGTTTCTGATTTCTGGACATACGAAGGAGAGGCAGTGTGGCCCAAACAAAAGCAGACTTTGCAGACAGTCTGGTACATAGTAGGTACTCAATAAACGTTGGCTTCCTTATTGTAGATCCTGGAACCTGCTGATGTCCCCAGTGTCTGCCATCTTGGGAGGCTCCGCCTAAGTAGCTGACCTACCTTTGAAATGCACTCACAAACGCACCCTGAGCCCTAGGGATGTGCAAAATCCCTGGGACTGCGTATGGATGGAAGATGGGATCCTACCCCAGGGTCAGAAGACTGGGATTTGAGACCAGATTTCCTGACTACACCCGGATTGCTTTCTCCCACCCTCCCTTTTGGGTCTGGACAAGGAAGCTTATGTTCCACTAAGGTGCTTTCCGTGACAGGGACCCTCCTGAGAGTGAGCTGGAGGACAGCGATGGGCTGGAGGATCTTTGGAAGTGGCATTGGAGAAAGGAGAAAAACACTCCTAAAGATGCTGGCTGCAAGCCCCCCCCGCTGGACCTGGCACTCTCTCCGTCCTCCTCTGGGCACTGGACTCCGGGCTCTGTCCCCGGGGGGTGTGGGGCTGGGGCAGTGCTCATGTCACTCACCGGCATCATGACCCCTCGGTCTCCTTTGGCGCCCTTGAGGCCATTCAGTCCCGGGCGACCCTGAAACCCACAGGTGATGCCTTAGTAAGCCCACTGCCCAGCCGCTAGCCCGGCCCACATGTCCGCCCCTCACGTCCAGTCTGAGGAGCACCAACACCTACAGGTCGTCCGGGAAGGCCAAACTCTCCTTTGTGTCCCGGCGGTCCTTTGGGCCCCTAGAGGCAAAACAATTACCAGATTAGAAAAGAACAGAAAGTCAAGGGCCAAGGCGATGGGAGACACTGGCCTGACTTCACGAGCAGGGGTGAGGATGAATCACTGAGGGGAGGAAGGAGGACGACGGGCAATTATGAAGTATCCACCTGCCTGGCACCTTGCCTCCCAACCCCTCTGCTCTGGGCTGGGACAATCTGTCCCACACCTCACCTCCCCACGCGTTCCTGCAGGCTCTGCCCCACCCCACACTCCGGACCCCACCCTCTCAGGGCTAACAAAGGAGCAAGAGGTCAGTAGTTCAGGGCCTCAGGTAGGTAGCAGGGTGCTGGGGTAGCTTAGAAGCTGGACCTTTGGGATGCCTGGGTGGCTCAACCGGCTAAAGCGTCTGTCTTCGGCTCCGGTCATGATCCCAGGGTCCTGACTGAGATCAAGTCCCGTATGGGGCTCCTTGCTCAGCGGGGAGCCTGCTTCTCCCTCTGCCTGCCACTCCCCCTGCTTGCGCTCTCTGTCTCTTTCTCTGACAAATAAATAAATAAAAATCTTAAAAAAAAAAAAAAAAAGCTGGACCTTTGCTCTAGGTCTTATGTCCCAGGACTCTCCCTGTCTCCAACTGGAATAATGCAGACCTGCCTCACCCCTCATGGAAGCCCAGCCCGAGACCCTGCTCCAGAATTGGGCTTCTGCCTTGCTCCTACCTGTCTCTCAGGACCAGAGTCTTGGGCTGGCACCCCACTTCTCCAGAGGAGTCCTTGACCTGTGGACCCTTATTCATCCCAGTGCTGGCTTTCTATGTCTTCAGGCTTCTAGATAACACTGCCCTATTCCAATCTCCTGCAGGAACCCTCACGCCTTCTGGCATCTGAGATACATACAATGCATACGATCTCTTCCCAGAAAAGTTCTCCCTCCAGTCTGCACGCTCCGACTTCTGTAGCTGGGTCTGCCCTGTCTCCCAAGGGGAATAACTAGTTTAAGCCAAGTCCCTTCATCCTGCTGCATTAACATATATGGCCATGCCCTGGAAAATGGCAAATAAAGCTGAGTGGAAACAGGCTCTGTACATAAAAGACCCAGCCCACATTACTCCTAATACAAGAAAAGCAAGAACAGAAGGAATCACAGGACACAGGACACTTGGTGGTATGTTCCAGTGCAGAGCTTCTCAAACATTAGTGTGTATGGGCATCACCTGGGATCTTGTCAAAATGCAAATCCAAGAGGTCCAGGGTGGGGCCTAAGGCTCTGCAGTTCTAACAAGCTCCCAGGTGATGCTGATGATGCTGATCCAGGAGCCACGAGTAACATGGCTCTAGGGAATCTGTAAAGGAAGTGTAGGCTGCACTGGTCATGAGGGCCACGGCTGCCCTATATGGCACCTTTATGCAAATGAGGAGCAGGTGCTCCCTTACTGTCTGTACTTGGCAAGCTGTGCACACACTGGACTTCAGTAGGAACAATCGAAGTGGCCACCTGCAGTGGCCTGCTGGCCACCATTGCTAACTACCGCTACCTCCCATGGGAATGGATGCTAGTAAGTGATTAACCAGTGGTTAACAATACTCCCCCAGTCTGCCTTCACCCACAGTTTCTCCCCTGCAGGCCATCCGTTCTGCCTGACAGAGAGGTCCAAAGGCCTCAGAAGCCTCTTTGAAGGATGCACCTTGGAGGTTATGGGCCATTCATTCACCAAAGACATGTATACGTCTGTGAGGTCCTTTCTCCCCAGGCCTGAGGTCTGGCTTCAACCAAACAAACCCTGTGTGCAAATCTCCAGGCCAAAATGCTTCCAAAGAAATGTTTCCTGGAGGCAGTCAGAAAACCCTGGACATAGAGTCTGACAGGCTTGGTTAAATCCCCAGTGTACCGCTTACAAGCTGTGTGACAACGGGCAAGCTCCTCACTCTCTTTGACCTCAGTGTCCTGGTCTCTAAAATGGAGATTCTGATATTCACCTCTCGGAGTGCTAAGGATGAAATGAGATGGCGTGAGGTGTCAGCGTGTCTGAGCCACAGTGGGTGTCCACCACCTGAATTTTCTTGTTCTTTGTGGTTGGGGGGGGACGACAAGACATGAGAGGTTTGTAGTTCATTCTGGAGAGAACTGGTAGCTTACAAAACCATTCAGCAGCCCAACTGGGTTACAGATTCCTAGAGCAAGTAAGGTGAAAAGGGCCCTATCATATCATCTAGTACTAATTCAATACCTTCACCTTACAGAAGCCCAGACAGAAGTGGACTCGCTCAAGGCCTCATGACAAAGGAGCCGAAAAAGCAGAGCGACTCTCTGGGACTCCTCCGAGGGGCTCCCGGGGCAATGGATCCTCAGCTGGCAAGCACGGGCAAGCACGGGGTACCTGTGCATGTGCAGCACCATCCGGAGCTCCTTGCCTTCCTGGACACACAGCTCAACCACACGTTTGTGCGTCGCCCCATCCTCCCCCCTGGCGCATCTGAGTTCTTTCTGGCCGGTAGAATGTGCTAAAGGTAATGTTCATCATCTTCCGTGATCTCTTCCCCCCCACCCCGCCCCAGCCTCAGCCTGCCCGCTGGAAGATGTCAGTGTGGCCTTGAAGCCACCAGATGGAGTCACAGGACGGAAGCATCCTGGGTTCCTGAGTCACTGCTGGGAGGGGAGATGCCCGCCGAGGAACCACCACCCATGGGCTTTGCGGGACTGAGAAACAAGCTGCTTCTCTGTTAAACCAGTGAGACTTTTACTTCATTACAATTAGCCTACCCTAATCCACACGCATCTTGCCACATCCCTTCTATTTTCACAACCGGGACAACTCAGTCTAATGGAGCCAAAGTACGATAAACCCTTCAGCCCCCAGGCCACACCCGAATGAGAGATGCTCTGGCTTACCATTGGTCCCGGGGCTCCATGCACTCCAGGTTCACCCTAAAGCAGGGAGACAGAACTTGTCATTCAGAAGGACACAGCCTGTGGCAGGAACAAACATGGGATGCTGACGCAGATGTGTGCCTTCAGGGTCTGGCGACATGATTACCTTTCTCCCCTGCAGCCGTTCCAGAGGAATGTCCCCGGTCAGGATGGCACCTGGCTCTCCCTTCTCGCCCTGCAATTCAGAGAACCTTTCGATGAAGTGGGGCCTCCTCCTCACTGCCGCATCTGGAGCCTCCCTCGGCCCCGCAGTCCTGCAGCCTCGCCCCCGTCCCTCCAGCCCCACCGCTCTGACATAACTTGTCACTGGAGAGAGAACTGCAGCAGCCTCCTCGGGGGGTGCCCTCTGGGTCATCCCCTCCATACACCACAGGACCAGGTGGGGGTCCTGCAAGCCCCCCCAGAGCTCCCGCTGCTGACGGATCTGCATCCTCAACCCCTGCCCTCCAGGAGCCAGCCTGACAAGGTCCTCCCCACCTCTTGCTACATGGCACCCCTCTGAGAACCTCTGGCTCCTAATTTATTTGGTGGCTGGCTTTCCTAACAATCCTTATTCTTGTTAAAACCTCTGCAATTGGTGAAGAGACAAAGGTATGAACACCAGAAGCCTCTCTCAACACAGAGGCCTTGTGTCTCCATGTGGAACTTTGTCCCCTAACTCTAGGATCCTGTGCAAGCCTGATCAGGGCAAAGTTATCTCAGATGCTGGGGAACTGGGGAGATGGGTAGACTGGTGGCAAATCCTGCCCCAGATCCTGTCCTCAGCAGAGCCGTCTACTTAACCCAGGAGGCTTCCAAGAAGATATTTGTGCACAGAGAAGGCCAGGTGGAGGAACCCTCTGTATCATTCTGAGGCTTTGGCTCCAACTTCAGCACTGGCCCCTGGGGGGCTGGGCTGGGCCCCGCTCAAGTCTCCCTTCCACGGGGCCAGAAGCAGCCAGGACAGCCTCTTCCATCCGTCCCCCTAAGGCCGCACCTCATATCCGGATCTTACCACTGTGCTGGTGAGAGAAGGCAGTCCTGAGCACGGCAGCAGCGAGAAGGACAAGCACAAAAGCGTTAGAGGCAGAGCAAGAGAAAGCGCGTTTGCCGTGAGGGCCGGAGCATAGCTGGCTGGGCGCGCATCCCAGTTTTCAAGATGGCAGGAGATTAGGGTGATGGCGTATAGGTCCCGCTAGAAACTGTGTTTAAGGCAAGAACCACTCTTGCTTGACCAGGCCTCCTCCCAAGCCAGAGCAGCTGCTTGCCAAAGGCCCAAGGCAGCGAGAAGCATCCCGAGACATCACCCCATGTGGCGCCAAACTTAGACCCCTTCGCCCAGCACACTGCCCCTCTCCCCCCTAAGATTGTGGTCCAACACACACTGGAGCCTCTGTTGCGGGGCCAGGGTGAAATGGTGGGGGAGGAGAAAAGAGAGAAGCTTAATGCTCCCTCCTCTTGAAGACATACCCACCCTCCGAGACTCTCAAGGCAGGCTCCAGGGCTGCTCCTACTGGCTTCACACAGACCTCCAGCACAGCAATGGCCATACTTTCTGTTGGCTAATTGCACGTCTGTTCCTCCTATCTTACTTCTATGTCCCTAGTGCCTACTATGGGAAACTGGCCGGCACACCCCAGGGAACGGATATACGACGGATGAGTACACAAAGGGATAGATGAATTAATGACCCAGTCCCCAGTCATTGCAATCTGTGTAGGGATGTCACTCTCTGCCTTATCCATAAAAACCAACTGGGATGTTAATTCCAAGAGGCAAATGTGGAAGGATATAAAGGTCCGTTCAGTGTCCTGGGAGCTCCAAGGACATGCTTTGCACGCTAAATATTTATTCCAAAGCTTTTGGACCAAGACTGCCATCCAAATGCAGAATGCCCAGCTTATAATTTCTAAATATTAGCATTCATTGTACTTATTAATTATATATTCTTTCATCCAATAAATGCCTTGGGTGCCATCTGTGTACCAGGACCTATGCTAAGCACTGGAAGTATAGAAAAGAAATTGGCATGTGGCCTGCCCTCGGGGAACGCACACTCTAATGGGGGTGCCCAACAGGTAGTTAGACAAAGCACAGCACATGTGACAACAACATTCAAGGCGTGTTGAGTTCTTTTCCCAAACTGTGATGAGAATCAATTTCTCCACCTATGGCCCACCTACACCTTGGAGGACCATGGAGATTAGAAAAGTTAATAGCTGGGGAGTGACTGCTAATAACTATGGAGTTTCTTCTCGGCATGAAAATGTCCAAGAATTCAGTAGTGGTGATGGTTGCACAACCTTGTGAATATACTACAAGTCACTGGACTTTATAATCCTTTAAGGAGTGGATTTTGTGGTATGTGAATTGTATCTCAGAAATTTTTAAAAAGTTGACTGCTGCTTTCAGCCAACTGGAAATCCTTAGCAAATTCTGGAGCATGATCTCACTCAATACCTGGCTCTCTCTTACCTGTTCTCCTTTCAGTCCTGGAAATCCAGGCACACCGGTGTCACCTTTTGGTCCTTGAGGGCCCTGGAAGGAATCATCAGGTTTTTTTGTGACTTGTTAAGATGAAAATGTCTTAACCAAATGGAAGTATTTTTTTTTCACAAAGTAGAATAGAGTGTGTCATTCCACCGGTGGGAGGAAGTGACCATGAGCCATGAAGTTGTGGTCTGGTGGGAAGAAGACAACACTGAGCGTGAGCAGGCCTGGAGCTTCCTCCGACGAGCACTGCTGAAACAGCCTGGTTCTGCTGCCTCTGCTGGCCCCGTGGGTCCTCCCAGGCCACCCTGCAGCCGGCCTCCACCCACCATTCACCTTCCGTAATTCCTACTTCTTCTCTGGCTCCCTACCATTTATGGGACAGGATCCAAACATCCCAGCCTGACACCCAAACCCAGCCCAGCCATCAGCACCTCATCCCCTGCTCCCTGTCACCCTACCAGGGTAAGCCTTTCCCCTTCCCCTCTGCGCCTCCACCCATGCCCTTCCCCCTGCAGGAACACCCATCCGCCCCTCTACAGAGCCAAGTTCTGCACACCCAGCCAGAGGTGACCTCTTCTCAACTCCAACAGACACTGAATACCTGTGACGATGACTCATAGCCAGACGTCTGCCCCAAAAAGGCTTACATGCTTTACTGCCATGGAGCTTTGCGCTAGGCCCTGTCCTCTGTGCTGGGTTAAAGGGTGAGTTACCCACAAAAGCAGTGGCTTTCAATATTTGTTATTATTATTTTTTAGCAATGAAGCTCTTTTCTTTCCTTTCTTCAAACAAGACTTCAGTGAAAACCCAATATATAAAATACATCAAATGGAGCTTCTCTATTGGAGGTCAGGGGACCGGAACCTGCCTTTGTGGCCCCCTCTTTACTCCCTAAAAGTGGCCCTGGAGGCTGCCTCAGGAACACAGAACAACTCCTCTAGGGGAAAACGTATTCTGGAACATGCCACCAGTTTGAAGCAGCCAAACCACGGCCGGAGCTCAGAGGTGTGGCCTCTTCTTTCCCTAACGAAGAGGCGTCCTCCACGGCTGCCACTCTCTCTCGTGTGTCTAAGGTCTAGTTCATACGCATTTTCATTGTCATCATCGGCTATGTTCCTTTTACAAAATGTAAAAAGTTCAGAAAAGTAGAAATAGAAAAAGAAATCGCTTATAATTCCACCATCAAGAATAAATTTATGACGCAGTTTTGATAAATTTCCCTCATTTATCCGGAGACCGTGCATAGGCCTGTCGGCATTGGGACCTTTTGAAGCTGTCGTGTCTTGGAGAAACCATGTAGATTTCACTCTGGAGCCTTGAGCTTCAGCACTGGCTCAACGTTTCAGATAGAACTGATCACTTTCTCCGCAGAAATGCATATGCGCCTTCCGCGGAGGAAACCCCAACAGTGTGCACACAGACGATGGATTGTTGGACTTCTAGTCCGTGATTCTCCTTCCCCCATCCTCCATCGCTAACATCTTCTCACTTTAGGAAACCGATCTGCTGGGACTGTATCGACTGTGTCTGTCTGTCTGTCTGTCTGTCTGTCTATCTATCTATCTATTTATCTACCTATCTACCTATCTATCTAGACTGAAATGCTTGACTCATCTACTTGCGTTCATAGAAAGCCAATCACTGGCTCTGGTTTCTGCTGGTACTGTGGGAGAGAGAGATAAGACCCAACCTCCACAAGCTGTTCACAGTAAAATTGAGAAAAAAAGACAAGGACCCAAATAACTGTTATTCGGGGCAGAAAAGAATCACAGCAGAGCTGAACATAAAGCCTATGGGACTCCGAGGAGGAAAGGATCACTCCAGGTGGAGGTCAACGAGGACAGGTTTCATGCACAAGATGGCACCAGAGCTTGGTCATGCAGGAAGGGAATGGCATTCCAGGTGGAAGGAACAGAATGAACACAGATCCAGGGCACAGAGGGAAAAGGTCTATTGTGGTACTTACTGGAAATCCTGGCAGCCCAGGTACGCCCTCCGGACCCTGTGACATACCAAAAACCAAGCAGGCGGGTTAGGGGTAGCATTTCCAGAGCTGGCAGGAATGCTGTGCCTCCGGGGCCCACCCTTCCCAGAACCTCCCAAAGGCCTAAGCATGTTCCTACAGAGGTGGGGGGAGGGGGATCTCATGATCCGTTTGTAGAGAAGGATGCCGAGGCCCGGGAGGGGAAGGAACTGTGCAGTCACACGGCTAATTGGTGACAGAGCCAGAAACTGTGCCCAGGAGCCCAGGGGCCCCACTCCCACCCCACCCCCAGGCAGGATTCTGCATTTGAAGTGGCTGACCCCTGCTCTGTGAAATCACTCAGTGCCAACCTCGACCCATGTTCTTGGAGCATAAGACCCTCATTTCTGAGGAGTAAGCCCAAAGAGTGCACTGAGGTATTTGGGGGTGGGAGTGGGGGCGTGTTGCTGACACTCAGTTCTTCTCCCTCAGAGAAGAATACACAAAGAGTCTGTGCTTCACTCCCACACTGGCCAGGGCTCTGCCTGCTGGCTCAGGTACCCACAGACTCATTAAACGTCTGTGAGTTTGGCAGAATACATGAAGAGAGAGACAGCCGGAGAGCAGCACGTTTCTCGATACCCTATCTACACAGTGGCGTGGGAAGGCATGAGGGTGCTGGCCGCGACTTGAGTCCCTTCAGAGAGGGAAGGGCCTCTGAGTAGGAAAACCTTGGCCCTTCATTAGGACCGAAAAGGACCCTTGAGGGTCTGGATTTGCTAAGAGGAGGACAGGGATTGGCGGGGAAGGTGGATTCTAGAGGTGGGGAGAGGGAGAAGAGGTGGGGGCAGACAAGGCCCAAAGACTCTTAGAACAGAGAGGCCAAATCTTGGATTTGAGCGGGTACGTTGCTTTAGTAATAACCCACCCAATACCCTAGACCTATAATAGTGTGAGAAATACCAAGACCCCCTGTGAGATGACTTTGGCTTGACAGCTGGTTTGCCTTAGGGGTTGATTACTGGGCTGTTTTGAGTGATTTTCCAGAAATCAAGGAAAGGGAGCCCCAGGAGATGTAATTCAGAAGATACAGTGGAAGGACCCACCAACAGAGGTCACCCAGCAGGAGAGACTGGCTCTAGAAGGCTAGATATCTGCAGAAGCCTCGGGGAGAGCACCGAGGTCCCCCAGGACATGGGTGGTGTGGGTTCAGGCCAACCTCAGTGGGGACTGCAGGGGTGGGTGACCCCTGAAGACATCTGGGCTGCCCAGCTGTGGAAGCATAAGCCTCAGTCTCCATGTGGGCTTGCAAAGAGTGCGCCATTTGCAAAGCAGGTCCACATGCACCAACCTCTCACGAGCTGCCCCAGAGCTGGTGAGGCATTATCAGAGAGTGGACTCAGAGGCTCAGGGTGTGTGTGACAGACGGGCTGGAACCCCAACTCTCCTCAGAGCTCTTTCCTCTCTCCCTAGCTGGTGCAATGGGGAATGTATGGCACAGACTGCAGGAAGAAGCTTCCCTCCTCTTAGGTGCTGTTGTGCCATAGACCAACTCTGTGGACTCACAGAGATACTGTAGCTCCACTGAGTGTTCCTGATCCCTAACAGGGGGCTAGAAAGACTGAAGCAAGTCATGTTCTCTCCTTGTGCAGTGGTTTTCCCATTAGCACAAGGTTAGGTCTCTCTTAGGCTCTTCCTGTTCTATGAAATGAGATCATGTTAAGAAAAGCAGGCCAAAGCCATCACATGGACATCATGGGTTTGTTACTTATGATTCTCTGATTTCCATGACACATACTTCTGATACATGAGACTGGGAGCTTCCACTGTGTTGGACAAAACTCCCTGAACGATCAAATTAATGTAATAGCAACTTCTCAGAAACGCAAAGTTCTTTTTCCATTCTATTCTGATATATTCTAGCTCCAGTGCTTCAGGAGCTAAAAGGGCTCCACACCAACCCAACTTCATTTCCACAGGGGCATCTGGGTAGGACCCTCACTCTAGGGCAGCTATGGATACGCACCGGAGGCCCAATGAGCTCAGGGATGTCCGAGAGATTCATGAACCCATGGGTGACGTTGGCCAAGGACTGAAGAGAAAGAAAACGGACAATGAGACAGAGGGTAGCACATGCCCACCCTGCCCCTGGCAGTGGAGGCTGTAACTGAAGTCACCCCAGCATGACAGAACACAGGCGGACATGATCACACCCTCAACTCGCTGCCAACACATCCATCCCCTCCCCCACTTCTTATAAAACAGCCCGGAGCTGCCGTAGCACCTCCTTCTTTCAGTTAACCTTAAACTTGCACAATATGTGAATGCCTGCTCTCTTTTAAAATTTTAAACACATGTCTCTATTTTTAAGCACACACACACACACACACACACACACACACACACACACACTCACACACACATATCTCCACAGTAAGCTTACAGTGTTGGCAGTGTGTGTGCTTGTGTCCACACGCCTGTTTTACATAAAAGGCATTAGACTGTCTGTATTATTTTTCCACTTGTTTTCTCCAACCCTACAGCATGGCCATCCTTCCACGTGGAACTGGCGGTTACGGACATTTTTAGTTTTAAGGGCTTGCTAAAGAGCTGTCTAAAGGGGCGGTACAATTTACACTGTCGCCAAAGCATACGAGATTAACTATTTCATCACACCCTTACCCATGCTTGATATTTTTAATTCCCCCCCCCCCACTTTTTTAAAACTCTAGTCATCCTTTTTTCCTAGTTATTTGGGACTTTTTGTCTTTCTGTCATCTACCAGTATGACATCATTTGTCTCCAAAGGGCCACAGTTTTTCACCAACGCGATGCCCTAACATGAAGGGGACCTTGCTCTGGTCTCGAGCACATCCCAGCCTTCTCTACAAATTTCCATCACTCTCCACCCCCTCCACAGCCATCAGCTCCCTGTGCCTTGGACACACTCGTGTTTTCTCTTCTGAGCTGTGGCTCAGGGTGTGCCTGCCACCTGACTTCTGGAAGTCCTGTCCTTCACACTTAACCTGGTAAGATCCTTCTCAGCTCTCGAGTCTCCACTCAAAGGCACTTCCTCCAGAAAGTCTTCCTTAATTTCTCATATCCCAAAACATCTTCCTCACTTGTTCCCCCACCTGTGTTCCTCTGCCTCTCTGTTACAGCTCTGTTGCTGTCATTCTCTTAACTGCAAATGCTGCCAACCAGGGGAATGTTCTGGAAGCACCATGCGAGAGAGGTGGTACTGGGGTAGGAACAGACATGCAGGGCATGCTGGCAGTGAAAACTCCAATGTCAGAAGCCAGCTACGTGCCCTCTGTGTAACCACCAGCCCTGAAGGCCCTAAAGTTGTGGACAACCTTCTCTCCCCTTTAGCAGAGGCAGAAAATACGTAGCCATACTCCAACCTGGATGATACTCACACTGGACAAGACCTCGATGCGACCGGGCGGCCCCCTGGGTCCAGGGGGTCCCACAATGCTGGCTCCATCCATGCCTCTGTCACCCTGGATACAACAGTGATAGTGGAAAAAAAAATTCACTGTACATGAATAACGCTCCTAGAACCTGGCTGGAAACTTCCCCCCACCCCACCTCAGATCTGTAACCTCACCTTGGGTCCCTGGTCTCCTTTTTCTCCTTTGGGACCCTGGTAAAACAAACAAACACTCTTTGGTTTTCTTCTCTTCACTTTGCTTACTCCCCATCTGTCCTCCCATCTTGCCATCTCTCCCTAAGCGCCCACATGGATTTTGCCCCCAGATAATAGGAGTAAAAGATGATGGGCAGAGTCCCCTTCCAGAGTCAGAACAAAGGAACACCCACAGAAGCTCTCTCCCAGCACAGGGTGTGTGTCCTCTTAAGCCTGAATCTCAGAGCCCTCTGCATCTGGAGGATAGGGAAGGGTCTTATTTAACCATGGACGGGGCGATGCTGCTTGCCCCTATAAGGTTCTTTCTCTTGGACCAGTATGCTCAGCTCTGGGTCCCATCTGACAAAGATAATGAGATCGGTCCTCTCGAGAGCAGGAATCATTGCAGGAGATGGACCACACCTCCCTGGGGCTCGATGCAAGGGGGAGGAGCACCTGTCAGGAGCGCAGAGTTCTGAAATGAGGGAAGGGTGAGTACGGAGGGGGGCAGCAGGTAGGAGGCAATGAAACAGAGATGCTTGATGGCAAGGGACGAGAGAGACAGAGAGGACTTTCAAGTTTTCCCCTATGGATGTCTTGTGCAAAACGTCTGTGCTGCTCCTCAAAGAAACAAGCTATAAAGAGCACTTGGTCTCCCCATGGCACAGCTGGAAGCTGAAGGCATGGAGAGGGAGAATTACTAAAAATAGCAGAGCCAGGATGGCACCCCCACCACTTCCTCACTCCAGCATGGCAGTCCTCCAAATGAAGGCTTCCAAACTCAACCTACACTCGGAGCCACTGGTCCAGAAATTCTGGGTTCGTGTAACAGCCTGATGCTTCCAGACCCTTCAGTATCCTGGGGAAGGGAAGAGAATGAGAATTTCATATCCAATTCCTGAGCACCTCCTGGTGCCAGGTGTGGAGCTGGGCCCTGGGGCTGGGCTCAGTGTGGGAGTCACCACCGTCTCTGCCATTGGACCAGCGTTCTGTTAGCTGGTTTTTCCAACAGTCCCCAGCGCACACTGTTCTTGAACCACAGAAAGGGGGGAATTTACCTCAAACCCAAGTCCCGTTGCACATCCAGGACCTGGGGGCCCTGGGGGTCCAGGAGGCCCAGGGGGTCCCATGACCCCAGGAGAGCCAACTTGTCCATTTTTCCCTGGAGGTCCTGGTAAGCCTCTGTTGCCAGGGTCGCCCTGTAAGGAAGAGGGCAGGTTTATTGTGCAGCCCTGGGTTCACTTGTGAAAGGAGTATGCCTGAGTCTGAAAATCATTCTTTGAACTTAAGGAGGTTGATGTGTTCTCTGATGGGCACTGCTTCGGGTACAGAAACTGCTGTCTTGCTAGCGGACATTTCACTTGGAGACAAGCTGAAGCACCCTGTGTGGAGGGCAGGGGAGGGGAGCAGACACGGCAGGTTGTTCAGCCCTCCATCTCCAGCCACTCTGCTTTCCCGGAGCAGTTCCTGAGATCTGGCTCTCTCTGCTCCCTGACACGCAAAGGCTCAGCACTCCAGCCCAACAGTCCAATTATAGTAAACCCAGAGGAAGGAGAATGAGAGGAAAGCTTTTTCTTTTTCTTTTACCTTTTCACCGACTGAGCCATTAGGCCCTCTTGCGCCCTGTAAAACACACACACAAACAAAACAAAAAACATGAAAAAGGGCCAATTAATATACATCTCGTGTGGTATAATCAAAAGAAAAGAAAATGCAGAATTAGCAACTCTTAAGTAACAGGATCTTAAAATGGGCTGATGTCTCCAAGCCGAGTGCATTATAGTTGTCAGTTTTCTAGGCAAGTTACACTGAAAGCTTGAGAAATCCATTTTTCAACTATTAGCTCATTACCTGGAGAAGTTGAAGATGAACCAGGGAGAGACTGTAGAGGAAGAATTCCCTTGGAGAACTGCCCGTGTCCTAGCCAGTCTCCTACCCCACCCTCCCATGATGCAAGTAAAGGGATATGTCCCTTACTTGAAGCCAAGAAAGGAGCTCAAAGAACTTGGTATGTATTCCCTAGACTTTTAGAGATTTGTGGAACGATGACTGACTTCGTTCTGGATATATCTAAAGACCAAAAGCTGCCTGGGGTGGCCCCGGAATGGGGTTGGGGGGGATCACTCTAAAGTAGGTTGCATGTCCATGTCCAATGGGGACCACAGCATAGGTCTAGATGCGGGGATGGGTTAGATGTGGATCCCGTAGAATAGAGCCAGCTGTGAGCTCTGAGCAGACAGGAGGACCAATGGGGGGCTGGTGGCCAGGAATGGTCAACCACAAGAGACATGGCCCTACATCAGGGGACTGTGGGCGGGGGGCCCGCAGTGGGAGAATCTCTCAGGATTCACGAGAGGAGCCAGGAAAAGGTCCTGACACCTGACTGTGATGTACCCACCTCCTAGGCCGTGTCAGTCTCCCCAATGCCCTCTTTCCCTCGGCTGGATCGCCCTTCTATATCAAATCCATAGAAAGGACAGAACGGATAGTTCCAAAATAATATGCTCAAAAGTAAGATGGCAAATGACACTGCACCTGAAAATAGCGAGGAACACCAAAGGGAAAACACAGGAAACTGAAGCCAGAGGCTTGGGTAGTGGAGAGAAAGCACAGGGGGAAAAAGTATCCTACAGAGTGGTGGGTGTGGCTCTGATGGGCAGAGATGTTGAAATTCCGGAGCAGGAAGGCCAGCAAGCCCTGCCCATTCCCCCTCATCTCCCAGTGCCTGCTCCTACAAGAACAATAAGCGCTGTTTCCTGGAGTCAGCGCATAGAGCAGAGCCCTGAGAGGTGAGGGAAACCTTGGGAGGTCCAGGGGTATCCCAAACTCATAAGTGCAGCTGCTGAGGGGCCCTGCCTGATGGCACACCCCACTGTCCCCGTCTTCTCTCCAAAACCTGCAAGTCTCTGAGGTAGCTGCTGCCCAACTCCCCAACAATCAGAACACAGAGAAGCAGAGGACAGACCGAAGAGAGGTTCCAATTTCAAAAGCAAACACACAAGCAAGAAACACCACACATTCGAGGGAAGGCAACACTGTGAAAGGGAGGTGGCAGTGCCAGCAACGGGGTGTCCACCCGGGGGAGGAGCGTGAAAATCAGCTGCCAATCAGGACTCTAAGTGCATACAATACGCATTCTCAGGGACAGAAGGGAGGGCTTCCCAGCCACAGAACACGGGCAAACCATCATGAAATGAGCACAGTGGTTCTAGAAAAGAATCAGTTAGAGATCTTGGAAATAAAAAGCAAGTGTTCTATAGGGACTGAATCACAAGAGATGCACCTGAGGAGGGAATTACAGAATCAGGCTGCAGCACCCCACCGCCACCCCCACCCCAGGACATTAGGGGGTGACGGGAGGGGAAGGGGTGCCGGGAGAAGGAAGTGGTGGTGGCCAGGCTCAGAGGCTTCTCTGCTGACCAGCCTGACCGGAGAGAAACTATATGGGACTTTTCACCATGGGCAGAAACAAAAAGAGTCGCGTTCTGGTTCCCCCGCCTAATCTGGAGGCTACAGTTTCTGCGCCTGCTTTTCTTGGGTGTGACCAGCCACGCAGTCCTCTGCGGCCTGTCGCCATCTGTCCTTGAAGGAAATGCCAACCTTATGCACCTTTCCAGTCACACTGCAGTCAGGGATATTGTGACATAGAAGTTAAATTAGGCTTCTCTCTTGACTTCTGGACTCTAACCTCTGAAAACCTTATGGTGTTGCCAGCTGAGCGGGTTAAAGAAAATTACATTTGGAAAGTGAAAAACAGTCTTTTATAAGTTACCTTCCCAGCTCTTCAAATCAAGAGTACATCTTGTAGCAGTTTCAGAGGAAGTTCTAGAAGGTATTTTGGACCTTGAGTTATTGGTCTCAGAAACAGATGATTTTATCCAGCTTGTACATGCAAAAAGGTAGTATTTGGACCCATTCCATTGGCTCACAGATTTGGTGGCCACCATTTTGGAATCTGAGCAGATTGGCTTGGGGCATGGAAGAGCTCATATTATTGGAGTTTACATGAGCAAGTACAGTGAAAACTAGGAACTCCAATTACAAGAGTCGGCAAAGACTCCCTGCTCCCAAAATGATGGGGTAGAGCTATACTTCATTGCTCAGTGTGAGACCTGAGGATCTTGGAATTCCAACCAGCCAAGCTGCGGGGTTGGCTGTGGCGGTGAAGTATGGAGAGGCCAGTTCCACAACGGAAATACTGCAAAAGACCGAGCTGCAGGAGTGCTACAAAATCATGCTTCAGAATTCATTAGAAATTTCCTCTCGTTATGGTAACTGGATTTGCTAAGGACTTTATTAGACTTCAATGTACAGGAACATCAAAGAACCTAATAAGTACATCAATTTTTTTTCCCTGTTGTGATATCTGAGATGGCAGATACCTCGCACTGCCTCGTGCGTGTCTATCAGCTGAGCTCACGGTGTTTGTTATACTGATAACTTCAACTTGTTACAATTATAATTGACCATGGTCGATTTGGTTTGATGGAGGCCTAGAATCCTGATTTTGTACCAAACACATCTGATGGTTAAAGAAGATATGCAATTGGAAATCGGGCCAATATTGGAACGTTCAAGTGAAATAAGCTGTTACCAGCTCCAAACCCATTACTGGATCTTTGTTAAGTGTGGCTCACACGTAGGTTCTTGGGGGGCACCCTGTTCTGTAATGTGTAAGATTTAGAGAATTGCTCAAAGCCCAGGTAGGGCTCAGTGGAGAAAGGGAAGCTTCTGATGATTTATTTGCATTTCCCCTCATCTCATGGGCAAGACAGAATCTATTATACGAGGCCCAGCAATGACATTTCGGCAGCTCCGTGAGATCCCTCGAAGCCCGTTCCTGGGAGCTCAGTGCCCCTCAGAAATGCTGGGTACTGAAGAAAACTTCAAAACACAAATTCTTTCCTGCCTGGCTGTCCCAGCACCTTTTGACACTGAAGAATACAGTGAATGATTCAGATTAAAGAAGGAAGACAAGAGTGATGATCGCAAACACTACATGTGTGCTGAAGATCTGGGCGGCACAGTGTGCCGGGCACAAAGCAGGGAGGAATTTTCCAGAGATATCATCGAACTCAACATAAAATAATCTATTTCATAAATTCTTAATGACCATCCACATTTGGATGACAATCCCAACTTGAAAATAATGAATGTATAGGATAATATTTTTTTTTGCCAGCCAAATAATTCTTTGGGAGAAAATTCTTTATTCTTTGGGAGAAAACTCCCCTTTAGACAACTGCCCAGACTGGTGTCCATGCCCTGAAAGTGAGAAGAGAGGCTGCTTTCTGAGCAGCATGAGGAACAATCCCCCTACATGTGTCCACGCACTGCCTGGCAGGCAATGAGTCCCTTGTCACTGGAGGTGTGCAAGCTGAGGAACAGATACTGTGGAGGGAAGTCAAGGATCAAATGTGTCACTGGATCCCATGTTGTGTGACATCCCAGAGACTGCTCATTTTCTCTAGCACCCATCTGTTATTTGACATCCATACCATGCTCCTTGGTTTACTTTTGTCTTTTAAGAATTTTTTTTTTTTTTTTTTTTTTAGGGCGCCTGGGTGGCTCAGTTGGTTAAGCGACTGCCTTCGGCTCAGGTCATGATCCTGGAGTCCCGGGATCGAGTCCCACAACCGGCTCCCTGCTCAGCAGGGAGTCTGCTTCTCCCTCTGACCTTCTTCCCTCTCATGCTCTCTCTCTACCATTCTCTCTCTCTCTCTCTCAATAAATAAATAAAAATCTTTAAAAAAAATTGTTTTTTAGGTAAGTGTTATCTGCAAGGTTTCCTTCAAGCTTTCTAGATGCAAATTTCCAAGTCCTTCTAGAGTCTGCTTTCACTTGACCAGAAAGCATCTTATGCACATGGTGCAACAAATTCGGACTCATAGCAAATTTGGGGGAGAAAACTGTAATTTATCTCCAACAGTGATCCTGGGCGAGCCTGCTGCCCTGAGCATTGCAGACTGTGCCTGCCCCGTGTCAGTGTGCGGATGTGGGCATGGGTATTTTTAAATACCAGACAAGCATGGGAGGGGTGTGTGGGGGCGGGTAGGGGAGAGTTGGTAAGAAGGACAGGGAAGAACAGTGTAGGTCTGTGATGTTTCCTGAAAAATCTAATTTCTTATGAAATAGTTGGTACATGTAAAACGAGTCCTATAAAACTTGACAACTAGTTTCTTTCTTCTTTTTGTGAGACATGAGCTTTCCACGAAAATTGAGGTACTGTTTCCATTGAAATAAACACACCTGAGAGCTGATGGAAACTGGAAATTCAGTTCAGCGAAGACGGTGGTATCTGGGGAGTTAGGATTTTCCACGACTTCATGCAGTGGAGTCCCCAGAAGGTCTTGCTCCCTATCTCAGCTGGGAGGGAGGCTCCCTCCTCCAAACCCCAGTGAAACTCACCACTGCTTCACTGCAAGGAGGTTTACTTTTTTTTTTTTTTTTTTTTTTGGTGTTCCACGATTCGTTATTTGTGTATATACCTTATCTTGATTGCTCTCCTTTGCAGGACATGGCTTATCTCATCAAAGAGGCTTGGAACTGCTGTAGGTGCAGGAACCCTGCCCCCACAGCACCTTGTGGGGTTTGCAGACAGAGAACAACACAGGCTTACAGAGAATGAAGAGAGTGAAGGGAACTGCCGATTCACCGATCAAACGTGCTAACGGAGGCCTGAGCCAGATTCTAAGGACACATAGACAGTGCTAAAGCTGTTCGTCACAGATAAGCTAACATGGGCTCAGCAGAATCAATGCTGTGCTAATGGGAAGTACAGGAAGGAGGGCTGCTTTCTGCTCATAGGGAGTCTGAAAGGGCTTCTCAGAGGATATATCTGAATGGGCCCCTGGGGGATGAGGAAAGGGAAAGTCACCCGAGATGGCGGAAAGCATGTGCAAAGGCCAGGGGGTCATCCAGGAAGAGCATGCCCAGAGCCCCGCAGCAGGGCTGCTGGCTGACCCAGAAGCTGTGTGAAGGAGCTGCAGGAGACGGAGCTGGGAAGGCAGGTCTGGACTCCATCAGCGTTTGGTCCCACAGGCAGCGGCTAGCCTTGATACCTTCTCAGCAGAGACCAGCGGAAGCCTGCTGCAAGGAGGATGGACAGGTGGGGTGGGTGGGTGGAAGATGCATGGCGGGTGGGGAGAACAGGACACTGGCACGAAGCCTGAGGCTGCCGTGCGGGTGAGGAGAGATGAACCTCAGATCAGGGTGGAGAGAGGCAAGGGATGTGGATGGCAGACGGGCCAGTCCTGGCAACAGGTGGGGCACGGCAGGAAAGGGAGATGAAGGAGGGCTCAGAGAAGATTCTGCCATTGAGTCCTCGTGAGTGGGTAGATGGCAGCACCATTCACTGAAGCTGGAGACGCTGAGCTCAGATTTGGGCATCAAGAGCCCTGGGATGGAGACATCCAGCAGAGAGAGGATTGGGAGGGGATTAGAAAGGGCCATTCACCTAAGAGGCAAGGACGGGCCTAGAGGTCAGAGAGAGGTGGTGTTGGGGCCTGGTGGCCCCCATGTGTTGGACCCCTCCCACCCTGTCCGTACCTTCTCTCCCTTCATCCCAGGAAGGCCGGAGGCTCCATCAGCTCCAGGCTGTCCCTCAGGGCCCTGGGAACATCAAGGACAATCAGCCCACAACATCTCTGATAAGAATCAAGTATGAAGCCTTCCAAGAGAAGGAGGTCATGGCTGGGAGGACCAAGCAGGTGAGGTCAGTGGGGCCAGGAGCCTTGTAACCGTCTAGGCTGGAATGCCAGTCCCTGGCCCCAGCATGGCCACTGCTGACCATACGCCTGTGGATGAGTGTCCTTCATTCTGTGGGTGGCATCGTCCTCTCTTGGGGCGAGCTGGGGGCAGGGCCGGACCAGACGGTCTCTGGGGGCCTCGTGTTCCAGGCCCAGCACTTCGATGTCCTAGGATCCCAAGATTCCACATGAGCCCGCATCTCCTATACTCACTAAGATAAAGCAGCAGTGTGCAGGATGGTACATTTCTTGGTTTCTGCTTCTTATGAGTCTTAGCCACGACTCAGCTGAGGACTCTTTGTTTACAAACATTAGCTAGCTGCTCACTCTCTGTGATGAGCCTTCGTGCTGGGGTCTGGGGTCTCTGCGCCCCTTCCTGGCTAGAGGAAGCCTCATGGCCGCGGGGACGGGGAGATGGCCCCAGTGGCTCACCGGGGGCCCGGGTTCACCAGCAGCTCCATCCTGCCCAGGCGATCCAGGGGGTCCCATGAAAACATCAGTTCCTGGTTTTCCTGGAATCCCAGGGGGGCCCGGGGGGCCCGGGGGACCCTAAAAAACAGATACTCCGTTAAGAAACAGTGGGGGAGGGGACAAACATACACTAAGCATGTATGTTCCGTCCATTCTCTCTGTTCCTCACACTAGCACTGCACGTAGAAACTGGTGTTCGCACTTAGCCAGTGGGGGAAACTGAGGCTCAATGAGATAATGCGACTTGGTCTGGGCTCACATACTCACAGCTAATTATTAGAAGAGCTGGGATTTGAACCCAGGTCTTTTTGAGCCCCTCACACCAGGTTTTCTCCCTAGATGTATGTATATGATAAAAATCCAATCCGAATCTTCAGAGGTGTCCTGACTAATTTAGTTTTCTGATTACCTGACAGAGCAGTCAAAAACTGCCTGTTGCTAACCCTGATTAAAACTCTTTAGCCTCCGGCTGGGTTGGCTGATCCCACCAGCCTGGAAGACCCATGTGGCTCCCACCCTACTTATATCCGGTGAGTCCAGAACCCTTCCGGCCCTATCCCGAGGAGCGGGCCAAAGGGCACCTGAGTGGAGTCTTCTGGGTGGGGATTCAGCACAGGGGTTCAGACTGAGCTTGGGGGCCTCGGGACAAAGCCACCAGCTGCAGCTGGAGCAGGGAGGTGCTCCCCAGGAACCAGGAACCAGTGGGGGCCCTGCCTTGGGCAGGAGGCTAAGGGAGCAAGAGCAAAGAGGAAGAAGGGGTGGTTGAAGAGGTAGGAGGGGTTGCCTCAGGGTAGGGTGGATTTCCAGAAGGGTCTGGAAGCCAAAGTGTGAAATACTACCTCAAGAAGAGGTCCGTGGTTCTCTATAACGGGTAAAGGGGATGGGGGCAAAGCCAAGTAAGAGGTGAAGGTCATGGGCATACTTGCTGTGGGACAGTCCTGGATGCCAGGGAAAGGGGGCAAGTGGTGAAGTAGAGATCCTGAAGAGAAACTAAGTCTCATATTCACTTAAAACAGAACAGCACTGATCAGAGTGGAAAATGCCAAACATAGACACGTGGAAGGGAAAATATAATCCTCCCGATTACTGGGAAGGCAGTCCCAAACACCAGGTTGTTCCACTCTCACACTTACTCTTAACAGCTCCTCACCGCGCACGGGCTCACCAGAGCCAGAGCCGCCGTCCGAGCCCCAGCCCAGGCCGGAGCCCTCGGCCTCAGCTCCCACCTGGAGAGAGAAGCAATTCCCACCGCTTGGTTTCATCTGCCACTCCCTAAGGACAGCCTTGTCACCAAAAGTCTTCCCTTACTCTGTAGCCCTACAACTGCTGCTGTCAACCTTCCTTCTGGTCTTTTCCCCACTCTCTTCTACCCCTCCCCTCGTTCCCCACCACCTCTGGCCGCACAGCCAATGGGCAGCCAGTCCTCAAACATACTGTGCTCTTTCACATCTTCTCAGCCTCCCTTCCTGCCTTCCAACCCCCTACTCATCCTTCAAGGCCTGGTTCCACTGTCACCACCTCCAGAAAACCCTCCCAGCCCATTTCCAGGTGGAGGTAGAATTCATTTCTCCCTACTGTGTGTTCTCACCAACTTCTGCTGAGGTCTTGATTTGGTAGTAGGACCACCCGACTTGAAGCTCAGTTGTGTGTATGTCTGTCAGCCCCTTTAGACTAGGACCCCTCCAGGGTTGGCCCATCCCGAGATACCTCTGGATGCCCAGTACCTTAGCACACGATCTGGTACCAAGAAGGTACTCGGTGCACACTTGTTGAATGCCATCAAATTCCTCCAAAGAACAAAAGGGAATTTCTAAAAACCCCTTTCTGGGACTTAATTCCTGAGCACAAGAACCAGGGGAGGCTGAAGTAAATCATGGAACGTGCATGGAGCACGGGCTCCGAGGCCCGGAGGAGGACCTGGGCTGGAGGTTAGGGCAGGGTTGAGATGGGTGGCAGTGGTGTGCGCATGCGGGTGGGAGAAGGGAGGCGGGGACAGGGGGCCTGCTGCCACTGTCTGAGGGACTGGCTAGACTCGGGGCTTGGAGGCTGGCTGGATGGGGCGCGGGAGGCGGAGGGCCACTGGGGGAGGTTTCCTGATTTCTGTCTTGATATCCAGGAAGATGGGGCGCCACTTCCAGAGGCCGAGCATCCTGAGGGAGGAGCAGGTCTGGGGCATGGTGACGGAGTCGTTTGGGATGTGGTTGAGAGACATGTGGGTCCTTCAGGGCGCAGGATATAAATGGGATGTAAACAGATTGCTCCCGAGCTCACTGAGGGCTCTGATAGAGGTGAGGGTCCCGGCGTGTCACTGGAAGGCACCCTGAGCCTGTGCCTGTGCCTATTTCTCGGCATCAGCCCCCTGCACGCTGTGTGCCGAGCCTGGATAGGGGGTCTCACCGTGGGTCCGGTAGGCCTGGCAGGTTCAGGGGGGCCAGGAAGCCCCTCCCCAGCTTCGGCCTAAAGAGAACAAGAAGGTCAGTGGAGTGCTGGTCACACCCCCCTCCACACACACACACACACACACACACAGTCCCCTCTCCTCCCTGTAGGAACTACTCATGTTTAAGATGGGGCTTATGCAGGGCTGAAGAAGGCTTGTTCTTCATGAGCCAGCCCAAGGGGCACCCGACCCACTCTGGGCTCAGGAGCCCTTCGTTTCTGCACCACACGCATAGCGTGGATGGGAATGATGGAAGGAAGGAGGCAGTAGGGACCCTCCCCATCCCGTCACCTAGGGTCCCCCCGCTCGACGCCCCAGTCCAGGTCCTGTGAAAGCATGGTAGCCAGGCCCAGTGTGTCTCCCTCTGAAGTGGGTCCTGGCCACCCTGCTCCTCCCACCAGCCCTGTAGCCTGTCCAGAGCCTTTACTGCTCGTAGGCCTGCCTCTCTGGGACAGGGGGCTCCTGGAGGGCAGGCCTGGTGCCTGAATCACCTCCAGGCTCCGGCGCCTGGCCCCTGGCTGGTGCTCAGGAAACGCTTCAGAGTGACAGGAACACCCACTTGGAAAGGAGAAGGAGAAAAGAAAAATGAAGCAGAAAATGAGAAAGGGCAGCATCCCCGGGGACATTTAGCTGTCACAGGGTCCAGAGAAATGGCTGCTCTGACAAAAAAGGTGACAGAATGGCGTGGGCCACCAAAAGGAATGGAAACATGAAGAGTGAATTCGCACAAAACCTGTGTGACGTGATGCCCTCCTCAGACTCCCTTACTGCTCCCCGGGAACCCTGCTGGCACCTGAAGCCCACTGAGGAGGCCAGCTCAAAGTGAGGATACCACCCTCCCCAGACCCCAAGCCCTCCTTCCCCTCCATCCCCACCGGCAGCCTCATGGGGCACCAGGGCCAGAGCACCCTCCATCCTGGGGAAGGTGGCAGCGGGGCTGGGCGAGGACTGAGACTAGCATGCAGACGAGAAGGTCCCCAGAGCAGGCTCTGTGGGTGGGACCTCCACAGGCTGTGGGACTCCTGGGGGCCCTGGTCCTGGCTGCTGTGGGCACAGCCCCTCGGTGACAGTTTAACGTCACTGCTGCTTCAAGAGGAGTCTGTTATCATTCTGTGGTGACAGACACCAGACAAAACATTCCCACCAATGTCACCTCATTTCACTCTGACAACATCCTCGAGGGGGTAGTCATCGTCACCCCCATTTTACAGATGGAGAAATTGAAGCACAGAAGTGGTAAAGACCTCTCCGGGAATCCTACAACTACCAAGAAGCAAACCCAGGTCTCTGAAGCTCCCGTGTGCCCAAGCTTTCCCAGGAAGAAAATCAGGGGCAGAGACTGGAGCCTAGTCACAGAAAACACCAGAATTGGAAGGACCCTCTGATTACAAATGGGGAAGCTGAGGCCTGCAGAGGTCAAGGTCTCCAGTCGGTGAAGAGAGGTGGCCAGAACTGAGCCCCACGCCATTTTTGTGGATCTCCCAGACTCCCAGTTCGGGCTCTTTGGGACTCGGTCCTCTTACTGCCTCTGCTATTCCTTGATCAGAACTGACTAGGTTAACTCCAAATAACAGGCTCCAGGCACCTGACCAGAGCCAATGCATTCTCCGAACGGTCACAGCACCAGCCTTTTCTGCTTGGGGCCCAACCTGCCCTTTCCTTCCCACAAGGCCTCTCTGAGCTGAAGACAAGAAGGTGTCATTGGAACCTGGTCTGTGTCCCAAAGACATGACAGAGCAGCTCAGCTCTGATGCGTGAACCCTTTAGCAAGCTGAGGGTGGCCTGAGGGATTGCAGCGAGCCCCTGCAGGGGTATGGCCACCTAGCCTCTTCCATGCCCCTCACACCCAGCAGATACTAGGCTCTTGATAAGTATTCTCCAAGTGACTAGTGGGAAGACCTTAGACATGGAGTGACCTCATTTGGACCACCTGGACCCTGATGACCGGCTTCTGGCTCATGTCTGAAGAGGGGTGGCTGGGGACAGTGCAAAACACAAAGGGACAAAGTCCAAATACTAAGGCTTTTACCCCTACTCATATCCTGGGAGCTGTGTGACCCTGAGGAAACCCCTAACCCTCTCTGGGCCTCATCTGCAACATAATTCTATATACGTAATTGGTTGGGTGTATGCCACGCGGTAGAAAAACTTTTCCATGTACTGGTTCATTTAATCCTCACCACAACCCAAGAGGTAGGTACTAGGACCCCCTGTTACGTATGAGTAAACAGAGAGAGAGATGAGAAGAGCTGTGGCAGAGCCAGACCTGGATGTCCGTTTCCCCCACTGGCTTGGGTGGCTGAGATTCACAGGGATCCTAAGGACGTTCTGGGGTGGGTGCGCACTTGGCTGTCCCTACCACGTGCTTTTAAACCATTTGCTCATGAACTGAGGCTTCCACTTCCCTTCAATGACAGTTCCTGACACAGGCACTTGAGGGTGATCAGTCTTCGTCAGTCACGTGCCAGGATGAATTACCATCTGTTTGGGTCCCCCTTTCCCTGTTCTCCCCCATGCCTGGACTCTTCTTAGAGCTTTTACAAATTCCCACTGTAAAAGTCATAAACGCCCATGGTGAAAACACCAAAACGTATTAGGAACCTACCAGGCCTCCCCAGGCCTACCACTTTGAAGTCACAACTGCTAACATTCACATATTTCCTTCCAGAGTTTGCACGTGAGCGTAGTTTTAAATAGTTACGACCACACAACGTACTCAAGTTTATAACCAGCTTTTATCATCTAACCTTAGGTTGTATTTCCCCCACCACTAAATACCCCTAACAAGTATAATTTTAAGAGCTGCATAATGTTCCGTTATTGGAATATACTTTACTCGACCAACCCCCCTATGGTTGTCTAGTTAAACCGTGTCCGATTTGTTTTCTATTATGGGTAATACGGAGATTAGCAAACTTGTATACAACCAAGCCTTTTTACATAGCAGACTATCTCCTTTAGGATTAATTCCCAGAACAGAAGCTTCTGGGTCAACACTATGTAGTTTCATGGTTGTTAATATGTGTTAGCAAAGAGCTTCTCAGAAGTAGTAAGCCCATCAGCACTACCACCAACAGAGCTGGTTTAACTAGATACCATAGGGGTTAGTCCTGGAGTGCTGTAGCCTGAGCCTCAAGGCTTTGGACGTGCAGGTGACCAGGTCTTACAAGCTTCCCTGAATCCGGGATGGGGCCCTCGTGACATCTGAGATGGGGTCTTGGCTTCTTTGGCCAGCTCTGTCTGTTACAAAGTTCTCATTTGAATTTGGGGACAATTTGGGACATGAAGCCAAGTGCCCCACCTTTTTACCTCTTGCTTTTTCCTCTGCACCCTGCAGCTTCCTTGTGTGTTCCCAGGTTGCACGCCCCTCAAATGCCCAAATCTGGAACTTTATGAACCAAAATGAAACCCACCTCTAAGCAAGCCAGGGGCAGGTCCCTCCCAAGACTCTGGCCTTTCTTTTTCTCCTCGGTCAGACAGGCCACGCCAAATCTTCGCGCCTCTACGCCACTTACCGGAGTAACCCCTCTTTCAGAAGCCACTGTGGGTATGGGCAGTGGTGGTCCCTCAGGGGGACTGCTGTCCAGCTCTTCGGCCACAGTCCCAGACAGGGACTCCTCTCTTGCGGCTGCTGCCAGGTCCTCCTCATCACCAGAACCCTGAAAAGCAAAACCAACGAGAGGAATCACCTCACCTGGCCTGTGACGCAAGGCGCAGCAGGCTGCCCGAGAGTCTGGGTGACTGTCATTCCTACGGTGCTAGTCCAATTTCACAACACTTGCTTACCTTCAACCGTCGTTACGCGCGACATGGTCACAGAAGCCCAGACTCATAATCCCCCTCCCATACGTGCATCTCCTCCTTCCCCCTGTCCCTAGTAGCCCCTTCCGACTTGGCAGCACTCTGAGAAAATTCTTGGACAAAGCTAGGAAGTAGCAGGGTTGGGCACCTGATTCCCTGACCTGCTTCCAGGCACCCTGCCTCCCTCCAGTGGTGCCGACCCGTGATCTGTGCTCTCCCAAAGCTGAGTGTTGCATTCGCCGCTCGGGAGGCCAGCGACTGTTCTTGTCTCACGACGCTGACCCCTCTCCCTGCTGTGAGCCAGACAGAAAATGCTAGGAGACACTTACAGAAGCAACCACTTGCTCAGGGGCCGCTGTGGGTGTAGGGGGAACCAGGCCACCTGTGGGGACCCTGCGAGTCTCCTCGTCCTCAGAAGTGCTGAGGGGCACTTCTGCTGCAGCTGCTGGTGTTGTGAACATTCCTTCACCGACTGCAACCTGAAGCAAAAATGGCATGAGAATCGGCCACTTCTTCTACCCCCTGGTTCAGCAGGCGTGTGACTGCAGGGAAGCAAGCCGCTGGGCCACCAGATAGGTAACTCGCATGGCCACAGCTCTGCTCATGCAAGACCCGCCTTGGCCCACAGAGTCCCGGAACCCCAGGCTGGAGCGCACCTCTCAGGTCAGTGCACCCATCCCCCGGACGCCCCTACAGCACACCGCTGCCGAGGGCTTTGGCCGGATAAGTGTCCGACGAGCCACCCAGGCGCTCCTGGGATGGTACTTCCTTGACAAAGTGGTATTTGAGCTGAACTCTGAAGGATCAGCCAGGATTAAAGGCAAAGCAGAAGGAAGAAAAGGTTCTAGGCAGAGAGGAGAGGGTCCGGGCACATTCAAGAAACTGAGGGAAGGTCAGTGAGGTGGGAGCACTGAGAGCCAGGGAGACGGTGACCCACGATGTGGTCACCGAGGCTGGCCAGGCCAGACCCTGAAAGGCCCTGTGGCCAGGTCGGGGAGCAGAGTCTGCAGCGAGGGCAGCGGGAAGCTCCAAGCAGAAGGCTGCCCCCACAGGAGGAGGTGGGGCAGGGGACGAAGGAGGTGAGGCAGGGGCCTCAGCCATTGTCTGGCCTGGGGACGTGCTGTCTCAGTCCACAGGCTGGCACTGGGGAAGGGCAGAAGGAGGCAGGTGCATAGTGGACTTAGGTAGAAAAATCAACAAGACTTGATGCATGCTTGACGGGATGTGGGGAGTCAGGAAGACAGAAGAGAATCCTGGATTGGCCGACTGGGGGGCAGGGGTCCCAGTCTTTTGAGGTGGGAAATCTTTTGAGATGGGATCACAAGAGTGGACACAAGGAGTCCAGGTTTGAGTCTGAGTCTGAAGAATTTGCAGGACCCCCGCTGTAATGACATTTTAGGGATAGGCCTGCCAGGTGTCCTGAAATATTTGCATCCCGCCTTCACGAGCTGGGAACGTTATCTCCACGCTGCCTAAGGACAGGGTTGAGGAGGCTGGGCCCCGCCCTTGACCCTGAACTTCCTTTGCCCTCTGACAGCCCATGCTTGTGGGCTGCCCACCATCACCTCTTCCGCTCACATCCAGGCTCCTCCACCCTGGCTCCTGCCCTACTGCTGGTGGAGGGAGTGGGCCCCTGGGACCACCCCACCTCGCTGGCTCTCCACCTGCTCCCAGCCTGGCTCCCCACTGGCCTGCTGGGGCTGTCAGCGTGTGCAGTCCCGGAGCCAACAGGGCTCCAGCACACGCGCACCCAGGCCTTGGCCAGCTCCCCTTCAGAGAGGTGCCCCATTCAGGCTCCTCTGGATGCGCGGAGCAGAATGAAGACTGGTCCTCCGAGAAGGTCAGGACCTGCTCCAGCTATGACCTTGACCCTGCGGCACTTGGCACTCCTCACCCGTGTCACCCCTTCCCCGGTGTCCTGGATGGCCATGGAGAGGGTGGCTCCCCCCATGGGTACACTGCCAGTCTCCACTTCCCCGGCGGTGCTCCCGGGCACCTCGGCCTCCCCAGCTGCAGCCGCTGCCGAGCCTTCTTCAGCATCTGCACCCTGAACAGGAAGACATCGTAAGGGAGCTGTCAGCGGTCCACTGCGGTCAGTGTGGCTGGAGGGAGCCGACAGCCCGGGCCCCTCAGGCGCCTGCACCTCCTAGACCTCACCTTGTGCTGATGCCGCGAACGTGGCACCCGTGCAGAAAGCCGTGCCTCGCACACCACTTGAGGCGTGAGCCCCTGACCAACGTGCCACCTGTGTGGCTCACCCCATTCCTCCCCGCCACCCTCGGTGCTGCCCACCACAGTCCCTGCCATCTCCCTTCCGCGACTCCCAGGGGTGGGACTTTCACCGACGCCCAGTCGTGGTGCTGGGGCAAAACCCAGGGTCTCGCAAATGCACAGCCTTCTTTCTCATTAGCGCGGCTGGCTGCCCTCGCGGACCACTTGCTCGGCTCACTCTCCTTCCACCCCTCCCGCATCCCTAACCCTGCGCTCCCCACGGTCACCGACAGTCACCGTGGCAGATCCGCTGGGCGCCTTCCAGGCCTTTACTCGCTGAGACTCTTGGCAGGATACGACATCGCTGACCAAACCCAGAGCAAGCCAATACCACCCGTTGCCCGGACCACGACACAGCCTCTGATCCTGGGCCCCGGCCTCCAGGCTTGCTTCTCCCACCCTTCCTCCACTTTCTCAGTCCTTCTCTGACTGGGTCACTAGCCCTTCAGTTACTCCCCACTTCGGAACACACGCCAGCTCCACCTCACGGCTCCCAGGGCCTCAGGGGCCTCCCTGCACCCCGTTGTTCACACGCGGACCCTCTTTTCATGTTCCTGTTGATGCCGCCAGGCCTCTGCTCCTGCTGGCCCCCCTCCTAGAGCACCTGTTTCACTCCCAGCTGCCAGGCTCCTTCTAGGTGTCCCCATAGTCTTGCCTTCGGCATTCTTTCCCCAGGAAGGCTTCCAGGACCCCCAAGTCTGGGTTCTGGGCCCTTTTCGGTGCTTCTCCTATTGCACCTCTTACAGCTCTGTGCCCAGGAACTGGTCTATCGGATTTACCTGTGCCCAGCATAACACATCACTCCGCAAACATCTGCTGAATGAGGCAACAAGACCCTTCAGCCTCCGAATCAGTGTCTACTCAGACTTGATCCCACAAGGCCATCAACTCCGCATTCTGCCGACTGACAAGGAAGACCTGAGATGCCCACCCTCCCCCAGAAACGGCATATGCTCTGAGCTACTTACCAGAGTGACCCCTTCCCCCATGACCTCAGTGGACAAGGAGAGGGCTGGCCCCCCAGTGGGCACACCGCTGGTCTCTGCTTCCCTGGCGGTGCTGCTGGGCACCTCAGCCTCCCCGACTGCCGCTGTGGCTGCCAAACCTTCTCCGGCATGCACACCCTGAAACAAAAGCATCATGAGGGACCATGTCACTTGGGCCCATGGCTCCGATCAGTGTGCCTGTGGCTGGACAGAAAAGACTGCTCACACCCCTCTTTCTATCAGCTTGCATTTCTGTAGCTTCCTTCTCTCAAGGCACTTTCTTATCTATGACGTCACCCCAGCCCCACGACAGTCCCAGAATCACAGAATCCCAGGGACAGGAGAGGTCGCAAGGCAACTGTATCTCCTGTTTGATTCCAAGCATCTGTTTGCACATGCCCAGTGACCAGGAGATCCCTGTCTCCGGAGTCAGCCTGCTCCAGCTCCAGACACGTCTATCTAGACACATCTGTCTCCCTGTGACCTTCCCTATGTGCCCGTCCAGAAGCCATAAAAACAAGTCGAATGCCTTTGCCCCTGATGGAGATTCAGAGATATGCAGGCAACAACTCTGTCCTCCCCAGCCTTCTCCAGACTGAACCCCATGATTCTTCTCTCTCTGGGACTCAGTTTCCTTGGGAAAAGCATAACCTTCTCTGGAGGTTACACAGCAGATGCATGAAATGGAAACAGCAGTTTGGCTGCTAGGGTCATCAAACTATGCTTTATCGCGGTTTCCAAAGGTTTTTTTTTTTTTCTTTTAAATTTGAGGGGCACGGGGGTCATTCTGTTTTGTTCTGTTTTGCAAAAAGTAGCTCTTTACCACCAAGCTTATCAAGGTTAGATTTCCTTGCTGTAGGACTTTAAGGAGTCTATAATAAGGAGGATATAAAGTGGAGAATTTCCCAAATGTATCTAACCACAGAACCTTTTTTC